TGAAACAAAACAATTGATAGCTTAATGTTACTCTGTATACAAATGGTTCACTCTGAGTAGAATTATTACTTCCATTAAGTCTGTCAAATAAAATCATGGTGCCATGACTCTGCATTTAATCCATCATTTTTTGTGGTCTTTGCACAAACAGCAGTATCAGATGATCAGATCGCGACGCGTGAAACACTGCAGCAACAACAGATCGATCCATCAAGACATCAACAGATTAATCTCTGTGGTTCTGCAGCGCGAGAGCCTGGAAGTTTAGCACCTTCTGCTACACAGACAGACATTAAGAGACACTGCTGAATGTCGTGTAATGCTCTATTTGACATCGGGGAGAAGAATGCTGTAAGTTTTAATGCTTCCAGGCCAAGGGAGTCATGGTGAGGAATCGAGTTACTGCAACCAGAGGCAAGACAGACGCAAGGGCAAAGGCAGCAGTGTGTTACCCACAATGAGAGGCGAAATGGAAGATGAGTATGGAGAAGGGCTGGGGGGACTGAGCTTGTGTGTCTGAAGCGACACGCCTGGAAGGCAGAGCTTCCAGCTGCAAGACAGTATGTTTTGTTAATCTTAAGACCCCCTGTGTGTCGAGCCAAGCCGCTCCTGTCATCTTTCTCTACAGGCAGCCAGTTCTGGGTTTATCTGCAGAGAGCACACACGTGTGGGTGTGGCATCACAACTGGGGGGGGGGTGCAACAGTGTTAGATTTCAGAGACATAAACTCGAGTTCCAGAGAATTCCTGAAAGGGAAGCGAATCGATCATAATACCATTTGTTGTCCAGAAATTCACATTGCTACTGTTTTTATATTATTATTTGTTCAATATCTCATAACCTTGCTCAAGGAGATTCCTGCTCACAGGTACTTGAAGGGAAATAATGAAAGTAGATATTATTAAATATTGGCTAAATAATCTACTCGGCAAACTTGGAGTGCCACGTGGGAGTATACAGACTTAATTAATAGACCTAATCAATCCTACTTCACTAAATTAATGCAAATCATAGGAGTCCCGGGAGATGCCGCTTACCTGCGCTCAAGGTCACCGCCTTTAAATTCGCCATGAAAGCAGAACTTTGGCGAGACGCTGGAGGGGCCGTATTGGGCCCGGCATGGAAGGCATGGTGGCTACGTTAAGGATCAGAACAGACCATGCATAAAATAATAACTGTATCCCAATAACTATTTTCCAATTCTACATGTGAGTTTATTGGCAACCGAATTAAATTCTGATTCATCTGACAGAATGCTTCATCTAATATGTTGTTATGACATTATATGTATAGGATGTTAATTATTAATGCCATATAGCATTTCGAATGAATACGTATTACTTTGGTATAGTTTTGTCATTAAACATACTAGAATACAAAGTACGTATTTAAAACATGGCCAGTCATTCATGAAAACTGTGTCTAATGCAGGTAAGAAAAACCTTGCATGAATGACAATACTGTTATTATCATCTTCAAATTGCATATTGCTCAATTTTGTTCTCAAAATGTCCTTGCGGGAAAAGGTATTGATTTTCGTTGGACGGCGGCGAAGTAATAATGACCATTAATGGCCACGGAAAGACACGTTGCAACTTTGAAAGAGGGATGCGGCGTGTTTCACATCTACCCTGAAAACGAGCTGAGCTACATAATATTTAATGCAGCAGTTATCAGATATATCTCTGCTACGTGTCTGATCAGAAATAAAAATCCTCACTATGGTGCGATCGTTTGCTTATACCCCTGAATACAATTCTGCATGATCATAAGTCCGGAGGCGTCCGAAATGAAACGGGAACTGGCACAGATTAAATCACTTCAGCACAAACCAGCCAGCCAGTTGATGCCAAGAAGTGGAGTAAAAAAAAATCTTACCTAAGCCCCCCATTTTCACTGGCTCTGTTCGCGGCTCTGCCGTCCTTTCGGATCGGGCGCAGCTGCTTTTCTGAGACTGGAAGCACTTCATCTTTTTTTGTCAACCTCACAGAAACCTGGTTTCCAAGTCCGGGGAAAGCTGGGAAATAGTTATCCTTCCTAACTTCTTTCAGATGAGGCTCATCCGCACCATTCCCCACCAAAAAGTACAAAAGTAGTAAAACTCCAAAGCATAAGACGATCACCAAGATCTTGCAATAAGTTCTCATCGTGAAAAAGTCTCCTGTGTACGTGGAACAACATCAGATTCCTCCTTCATGACTGTGGATAGGAAATTAAAGCCATACTTGACGTTTCATGATTACTTCTCTCCAGTTGCATTGTGCAAAGGATGATACGGAGCGAGGACGGTGAACATCCACGTAAAATTACTCAGAGGAGGAGGGTCTTAAAGTCAGTACCGTGATACTTCTAAGAGGGCGGCACAAACATGTTGCTGTGGAAAAGCTAAACCGTCCGACATAATGAAAATAATATGCTCATTGCTCTGATGATGATGATGATGATGATGATGATGATGATGATGATGATTATTATTATTAATTATTTAATAATTAATTATGATAGCTAATGGCGATGGTGGTGCAGGAGGTAGTGCTATCGTTCTGCAACTAGAGGGTTTTTGGTTCGAATCCTGGTTCCTCCTGACCCCATCAAAGTGTCCTTGAGTACGACACTGAACCCCAAATTGCTCCTGGTGTGCAGGTTGGCGCCTTGCATGGCAGCCTTTGCCGCCGGTGTATGAACGTTTGTGTGGATGGGTGAATGTGAGGCATGTATTGTAAAGTGCTTTGAGTACTCGTAGGACTACGAAAGCGCCATATAAATGCAATCTATTTATTATTGTTGTAGTATTATTGTTATTGTTGTAGTCATCTCACCTGGGTTGGTTGAATGTCATATGTAAAATATAACTGATTAATTATACATTCGCCTTGTGCCATACAATCCTCAGACCTTTAATCTCATATTTCCTATAGTAGGTTTGTAGTACCAGAGGCGCAGTGACAGGACAGGCGGCCAGGCAATGTCCTGGGGCCCCGAGCTGGGAGGGCGCCCCCTGCGGCTGGTTACAGGCAATGTCCTGGGGCCCCGAGCTGGGAGGGCGCCCCCTGCGGCTGGTTACAGGCAATGTCCTGGGGCCCCGAGCTGGGAGGGCGCCCCCTGCTTAATTTGTGTATTCTGCTTTTCACAAAAGTAAAAATAAGTCTTGTGATTATTAAATTCTCTTTGTTGATATTATTAATTTACTCTTCACCATAGACATGTAATAAATTTTACTGTACCAGAGCAAGGGGGGTTGGTCCCATGTAGTTGTTTGCCCAGGGTGCCTCTGTGTACTAGGAAGGTGATCGGTAGGTTGCCGGTTCATGTCCTGCAGCCAGCAGAGAGATTTCGCCCTTGGGCCCCTGAGTGAGGCCCTTAAACCCAGTTGCTCCAGCGACTGACTGGCCTGCTGTACATCCTTCTGGATGAAGGCATCTGCTGAATACATGGACGTGTCAAGTTCTTATGAACATGTGGTACTCCTACGTCTCTATTTCTCGTTTGTTTGTTTTTTAATTCTATGTAAAGCTGGATCAATCAGTGCTTACTATGATTCCTTGTAGAGCAACATGAAATATCTATATCATAATGACTAAAATGCTTTGTTCTTATGTTATGGCTTAAATAAAATAGGATTGTATCGAGTGGGGTTCCCAGGTATTAATATGCATAATTTTATATATTAATTTTATTTTATTGTTTAATTTAACAGGGACAATTGATAGTTAGTAACTGTCCCAGAGTTAGCTAAAAAGCTAAATTTAATCTGCAGTCTGCTTTATACTGATCCCGACTTATAGGTCGAAAGACGTATTTATAAGGTTAACGCAAATGTCTCAGTACCGCATACAGCAGTTAATACGGTAGGAACATGGCGGCCCCTGTACGGCATGTGCGGTGTGGATGACGGAGGAGGCTGCCGGAGTGTTGCGTTGTAGCTGTGTGAACGGTAAGGGATGTTACAGCGATCTTTTAATACTGTTAATATGGTGACCAGACTTGACATGACTTTACGGTTGCAGTCTTGCCGCTTTTATAGTTAGTGTTTCATACGCATACACTGTCTGGCTTGTTAGCGAAGTAGCAAAACCAGGCTTTGCGATTAACTGCCTCGATACCTCGTTACAACAATTATTATTTGCCCCTAGAAGCCGAGCTGGATGTTCGGTTTGGTTTTTTGTTAAATAAGTTTAATGGGCTTAGACTGAGTAGGTTTTTTGAATACAGGGAGCCTGCCTTGACCCTCGGTAACGTTGTGGGAGGCGGTATTTTCAATTTCGGTTTCGTTTTCTTAATTTCTTAAGTTAATAAAGCTCGACTCCTCCGTATTTCTGTTTTACACACTTTGGCTTTTCATGTTTGCTTGTCTGTGTTCGGGGTAGCGTATTTGCTACTGTCCCCTTACAGGTAGCCGTATACAGCTCTGGGTGTAAACTATACAATAAATCTCCTGGTGGATGTCACCTGTATCTTTACTGATGTGGAAATTGTCAGACAGGAAAGTGAATCGGAAAGCGAGCTGAAAATTATCTGGGATGAAGGAATGTTATCAATGTTAGGAATGTGAGCAAAGTTACTAACTTGTATTGTTAATTTTAAAAAGTTATGAAGTGTGAAAAAGTAGTTACTTTGGATAGGTGATTTATAAGTGTCTAATCTAGTACTATTCGGACAAGAATGTTCTGTGACCCCCTTGTAAAAAAAAAAATAGTTTCATGCAAAAATCTCTATGGTGCACTGGTTATTTTTTCCGTCTTGGTCTATGTGGTAGTAGTGGGCCTGCCACACCTCTGCCTCTGTCCCCTGTTCCAGCTGGTTTGGATTTGGCTGAGAGTGTGTCACTGCAGCAGTGAAGCACTGTGCTGCAAAGAGCCATCACTGAAAGCAGCTGGTACCATTTAACATCCAGTTGTGTTTATTGTCTGGGGCGTTCTGTTTGAATGAGGAAATCAAATGTAGCTCATGTCACATGCAGTTCTGGGTTGAGCTTTGACAGATTTAAAGTAGTTTGACAAGTAAGAAGGATGTTGTGCACAGGCTCTCTGGCTGAGGATTTACCATAGCTGTATGTGTTTTGTTGTAAGAGGCCTAATGATTTAAATTGAAATCTTCTCAAGTCAAGTAGTCAATAGAATAGATTACTGTAGAGAAGCTGATAAATGGCCAATGTTTTCAGTATGACTATAGGACTGGTTTGGACTGGTTTGTTTTGTTCATAGCTCTTCCCACATCTGATTCTCCCCAGTGATGTTCATTTGATAGCCTACTGCATATCTATTATGGTATAGGCTAAATGACGAGGAATAGTACAGTGTAGTAAATACAAACACCAGTAACATTGTTTATTATCCTTATTGAGTATTACGGACTGTACATAATGGTGTGAGCTATAGTTGTACACGACTCCCAGTACAGTGGCTTGGTTTACATTGCAGTCACCACGACCACGTGAGTAATGTGTCACTGGCCAATAGGAATTTCTCAGCTCTATTATAACATTCTGGGACCATCGTTGTATATGTGGTCTGCTGGTGACCGAAACGTCTTTATGCGCCACATAACTGTACTAACTAATATGGACATTTTGAAAAGAAATCATTATTATACTTGCAAAGTTTTTTATTTTGTATGACTGTAAAAAAATGTTTTTTCTCAACTTATTGATGGTCTCAACTGCCCAATGTCCCATCATGATTATAAGATGCATGCCTAATAATCACCTGGGCTTTAGATGACTGGCGTAAACATTCACCCAGAATGTTTACTTACCCCAACAATTTGGTAAGCAGATTAGTTGTGCATCTAGAGGCGTATTATGATTCCCAAAAGTTAGTAATCTGTATAAATTCGGCGTATCCTTATGTTTAATAAACATGTCAGACGTTAAACTGCAAAAAGTACCGCCACACCGCTGACGTCTCTTTACCTTGTTTATCCACAAGATCTCCTCTTTTAAAAGATGTTGTGGCTGCTCATCTGTCCCTTTCTTCACCGCCACTTAAGTGCTTATTGTCACCATGATTTAGCAAAACACTAGCATGTGGTGTGCTCTGCTAACCAAATTTAATAAACATTAGGATACTCTGCACACACATGAGCATTCAAAAGCATACTAAGGTGGAGTTGCCGAGTTGTCATTGGTGTGTTGTGAGGGGGCCTGCGATGCGGTGCTGTCTCGTCCTGGGTTATTCCGCGCCTTCTGCCCGTAGTTGGGGTGGTGCGGTGTGTAAACGTTTGCTCAATCATCAAATTATTCAATAGATTATTCAGTTTCTAATGTAATTAATTTTCACAGCAATATTGTTTCGTAGCAAATCTCTGGGCTCCTAAATTTAGTTGAGTGAACCTTTAAAGTTTTATTAAGATATTGACTGTATTACTGATATTTACAATTTGCTGTTATGTTAAGTTGACTCTTGTGGACCTGGACTTCCGTGGCTGTCTTTCAGATCACTAACATCATGATCACCCCGGCATTCGAGCTGAGCCAGGACTCCGATTTCCTGCTGCTGAGAATCCGGGTTCCCTACACCAGGGCAGCCGAGTTTGACCTCTACATCGACGGAGAGGATTTCAAATTCTACGCCAAGCCCTACTTCCTAAGGCAAGTGGCCGGCCCTGTTCATAGCCCTGTGTAATGCTGGAAGTCACCTCCCAAGGGGCTGCACCTAGATGCAGAGCCCGTATAAGCAATAGAACTGTAAAGTTATCGCCGTTTGTGTGTGGCTTCCTCTGTCATTTGTTTAGTCCGCTGTAAACGGGCCACCAGTGTCATCAGTGTTTACATCTTATCGGGTGGGAGCTCGTCCTTGTGTGTGCAGGGTGAGCTGCCAACCATAAGCTGGAAATAGCGTGCGATGCATTCGCATGTGACTTGGACTTCAGCGCCGCCCCTTGGGTCCCCAAGAGCCTGTCCTCCTATGGTGCCTCAAAGCAGATGAGATCTCCTGACTAACTCACCTGTCTTTCTGCAGATTGACGCTTCCCGGAAGAATCGTAGAGGATGGAAGAGAAAAGGCGTCATTTGATATTGATAAAGGTGAGGATTGTTAGTTTGGTTTCGGCTTTGCTGTTAAACCGTGTGTAGTTTCAAAACACGGCTTCTCCCTGTGATTACACGGCTTCTCCCTGTGATTACACGGCTTCTCCCTGTGATTTCACGGCTTCTCCCTGTGATTGCCTTGCTGCACTTAGCCTGAACCAGCAATGCAGAGCAATGTTAACAGAACAAAACGGACAGGGAGGGAGAGCACACGGTGCAACGTATTACAGGGGGCGGGGAGAGAGTGCAGCGTGGTGTGAAATAGTGCAACAGGGTATCCAGCAAACTGACAGATTCGTATGAATGCAGATGGTCGTTTGGAGGTAAATGGGCAGAGTGTGTATGTGGGGCTCTGTTTTTCTGGCTGTGTGTGTGTGTGTGTGTGTGTGGGTGGCTCTTGCACGGCCTGCAGATGGAAGTTATCATTTCCACTGTTAAGGGATCTGATGCTTTGGTACTGTTTGCTAAATGGTAGGAGAACGAAGGTCCAGAAGAACAAAGAACAAATGGTTTCATGTATACTGTTTTTATTTTTTTGAGGGAAAAATTCTTTCATATTATGATAAATAATGCGCTTCCCCACAGACATGCCATAAAGCTCAGCCAGCAGAAGGTTAGACTTTCGGATCTTTTAGGGGTACCTGGTGAACGCAAATAAGCCCTGAATACGTGCTGCGGCCCGTCGCCCAATGCTGCAGTTATGGCTTCCTTTTCCTCTGCGCTGATTGGCTGTGTGTTCAGGCTAGATGACGAGCCGACGTTTGAGGTCCTGGGTCCCTGGTGTATATTTCACACTCACTAAAAACCTTGTCAGACTAAATTATACACGGATGTGTCTCCCATTTAGTGCTATTAATTGGTGAGTGTCAGACTAAATCTCCTTTTTTCAATAGAATAGCTTGTGAATCTGTCTGCATTTCTACTGCGGAGGAAAAACATTGTTCTCGACGTTTTCGGAATTCTGATGATATAATTGTATACAAATGCGACGGATATCTGTAATTAGCCTGAAATAGGAAGGGAGCATGCTTTCCTTGTTTATGAAATCTCAGTTGCACACTGTGTTGCTTATTAATGACATCCATTACGCTCGGATTATGAAGACGCTGCTAAATCGCGTAGAGCAGCTCCCTCTCGCCTTGCTTCTACAGCATCCTCTGACATGCCAGATTTAAATAATTTAGCTGTACCTCAAGTAATGGCTGTCCCCGTTTACGCATGTAATTAGAAATCATTTAGACGCAGCCTGTGGGGTCGGCCGGCCCTCTTACACTCATGGCAGTCAGTGGCAAAACGCATTTTTAAGGTAAACACCCCAGCAGGGCCCATGAAAATTTCATGAGGTTATTAAAATGCATGAGGGACTGAGCCTGTTGTCTTCTGGAGTCGTTCGAGGCGAGAAGGATCGTAATCGCTTTTGAGTAGTCCTCACTTTTAAAGCAGCATTTTCCAGTAAGCTGATATGGAGTCAGATTCACATCACGAAATACATTCGTCGGCATATGATTTAGTGAGAGAGCGGGAAGGAACAGGAGCAGTGATACCCCAAGACTGGACTGGACTGGACTGGACCGGTGTGCATGCCAGTTTCCTGGGGGAAGACGCATCCTCGGGCCCCCCCTAACCCCCGCAGCGCTCTCCCCTTCAGCTGAATAAATGACCCAACTCATTTCAGCGATAAGAATTTAGCCTAAAATCTAACATTTGCAAGATGCTTAAAATGTGGTTAGTTTATCACTGTCTGAGATAAAAGTGTGTGCAGGTGAATATATCATAATGAAGGGAAAGACTCAGAAATGGGATGAGAACACGTTTTTATGTTTTTTATTAAAATGTAGCAGTACAGTCTGCCACAGCACAGGCAGTGAATTCTGCTCTACTGTGGTTTAGCTAACCACCCTCATGGTGGGGACTATAGAGGGGGAGTCGGCATGCATCACGAGACATGTAACGCAGACGGTTAGTGATTCTGGCAGGGCTAATTTGTATGTATGTTTCTCTCACAATTAAATCGACACTCATTATTTGCAAATTTTCATTTTATACCTTCAGTATAATTATAAAAGGCAGTTCACTACTATTATTACGCTACTTGTATTAGAACAAAATCCGGAATACATTCCTACAGTGAGCACCGCCATGCATTTTGAATGAGTCCGACTAGTTAACGTGTTGCTTCCTGAACTGTGATTTGGCTTTGTGTTTGAGGTTATGTGTGGTGAAGGTGTCCTGAAGCGGAGGTTCGTGTTTCCATGACGTTTTCAGCATCCCCAGCTCAGAGCGGTGACCGTGACAGTGTGAAGCATCCAGTGAGGAGGGATGCCATCGTGCTTCTGTAGAAGTTGGCGAGGGCTGCTGGTGACATCTGGACCTTCCTCAGATGTTAGTGTGGCCTCTTGGTCATGTCTGCTGTGTCCATTCATCGTGGTTCATCATCGTCAACTTAAAGCTGTTGGCTCCTTTCAGAGCTTCTCCCTTTGTTTTTGTTGTAATATGTTCAGCCTCTGACTTCCTGAAATCGATGACTGATCCCTTATCCTTACTGATGTTCTGGCAGTAGAGATTTTCCTAGCATCACTGTTCTGTAGGCAGACTCATTGTTGCTGGTGGTAGTCACTGTAAAAGGTGATATCCTGGACAGACTTGACGCTATTGCAGTGTTTTCTGTCCGCATGTGACACCCTGGTTTGCTGCAGTGGAGTGGAGTGTATGTGAGTGGCATTATTATGAAGATTAAAACAGATTGAAGCTGCCTGAGATATCACTTTCATATGTTCCATTACCCATCTTCCAAAGTGTTTCATGAAGGTGGGGGTATGTACCGCCAAGTCATTTGAACTGTCCTCTTTGTTTTTCTTTGGGCCAAGATTTAAGTAGAAGCTATGGACTTTCAGACTGTGTCCTGAGACTGGCTAAATGCTTAGCCAGCATAAAACTTATAAAAAGTTTTTCTCGCCTCCCTCTCTCAGAGGTAGAGATCTTTGTTTTCAAGGTGCAAGTCCTTATGAAAACTGGCAGGCTGCCTTAACTGGAGTGTAGCACCCATCCAGTGTGTAGGTCCATTGCTCCGGACGGTGCTTCATAGGTCCACTGCTTCTTTGTGCGTCTGCTGCTCCTGCCGGCATTCCATGCGTTAACTGCTCCTCTGTGGGTACGCTGCTCCTGCTGGTGCCTCTTTGGTCCACTGCTCTTACCGGCGCACCATGGGTCTGCTACTCCTCCACTGATCCGCTGCTCCTCCCAGCACTCTGTGGGTCCGCTGCTACAGCTGGTGCTTCTTCGGTCCACTGCTTCCACCGACACTCCAAGGGTCCACTGTTCCTCCATTGGTCCGCTGCTCCCACCGGGGCTCTGTCGATCCACTGCTCCCGGCGGCACTCCATGGGTCTGCTGCTCCTCCATTGGTGCGCTGCTCCCGCCAGTGTTCTGTTGGTCTGCTGCTCCTGTTGGCTCTTCATTTTTCATGCCATCTGCTCCTTAGGTCTCTTTACCCTTCGTGTCCCCAAGGAATCACCAGGAGAGAACTTCGAGGGCCTGGACATGTTGACTAGTCTGATGGCTCCCAAAGGCTCCAGATCAGCCAAGCCCCTCGTCGAGGAGATGGGTACCTAAAATTTCCTGCTGTGGGCATTTCTGCCTTTTCAGCAATGTCTGAGGCCACTTTGAGGTCCTGTGTTGTTGTTGCAAGGTCTCAGGACATATTTTGGCAAAGAATCTCTTTTTATGGGCGAAAATGCTTTTCAGATACCTGTGATGGTGCTATAGGCGGTGAAGAAGAAGAGGATGACTTTGACTGGCAGATGGAGCAGGAAGCATATGTGGAGAGCTCAGAAGAGGAGCTCAGATCCCTCCAGAAATACGGATTTGGAAACCAAAGGTCCGGGGTGTTTACCAGGCTGCAGGTAATCCCCGGAGCTCCGAGCTGAGCGCTTGTTCTTAAACCCCCTTAGGCAATTTGAGGTGAGATTTACACAAATCCTGAGAGCTGAGTGGCCGTTAGACTCCTTCAGTACGCTGTTTCACCTGACACGCGTCGCTGATTATCCAGCTGTGCGAATGACTAAGGCATGAATTTGTAAGCTGTGCCGTTTGCTTTTCAGCTTGGCTTTCGCTAAGCAAATAGATTGTTTAAAGAAGTGTGTAATGTGTCTGCATTGGCTGCAGATGTCAAGATGAGGTAAACACTGTCGGCAGGTGTATTGCAGTGGAATCTGTAACTTTATTATAAGGACAGGCACTCTGCATTTTTGCAAAGTCATTATTATCTTGCGCTGAATTCCTTTATCATGTTACTTTATGTACCTCAGGAATTAGAGGGTTAGGGTTAACAAGGAGGACACTGCAGATCTTCAGTATTCAACCTTACACACAGTTTAGCTTCACATGCATGGTGCGTTTGCTATGACCATCTTGTTTTTGGGTCTCTCCGCTCGGCTGGTGGGTAGGAGATGGTTCCAGGCTGACGTGCCTCACCTCCTTAGGCCGCTGTCCCCCTCCCACCCATCCAGGAGGAGCTCGGTGACGTCGTCGATGTGAAGAACCCAGACTCCAGCACGGCCTCGGAGAGGCGGAAGGATCGCCTCGCAGCCGAAGACACCATTTTCTGCCACGACCATTACCTGTGAGTCCCTGCGGCAGTCAGTTACCCAGCTCTGAGAGGCCTCACTGCCTTCTCGCCCGTATTGCAGGCTAGCTAGACGCCGCATTTCACCAGTGTTAAAACACCGTGTTCCTCAAAACACATCCATTTCATGTCCTCGCACTGCCTGTCCGCAGCGTCAACTTATTTGAAAATGAGGAAATCGAGAAGCTGCTTAAGTTTCGCCCATGGTGGAGCAAGTGTGGCCAAGATGGAGCGCAGGCGGAGTTCGGCCAAGCAGGTGAGTGTGTGCCAGCGCCCCGTCTGTCCCCGCAGCGTTTTATTCCTAATCATAAGACCTGTTGTTATTGTAAATGTTATTATTAATAAGGATAATAGTGCAGGTCTTCTGCTTTCCGAATTTTCTATTTATTCCAGAGGCGTGGACCCTTAGACCAGCAGCATTTGTGCCACAGACATTATTGCTGCGAATCGTTTTACATGAAGTAATTTCTTTTTCGTGTCATGTAGTAGCAGCTTTGGACCAGCAGGTGGCAGGTTATTGCTAAAAACATTGTCCTGGTTTATTATCAAGAGTTCAGCTAGGGTGAGCTTATTAAAATATCGCCCCAGTCTTTACGTTTATCTTATGATATTAAAACTTGTTTTTCCACCATTAGATCACTGAGTTCCCCCTCTCGCCGCTTATTCCAGGCCTCCCTCTATCTTCCTGTGTCTTCATCTAATGATAGTATCTGAAATCAATGTTGTTAACGGTGCGGTTTTTCTGTTTGTTTTTCGTCTCCCCGATGTCGGAGATGAGGGTTTACCCGGCTTTGTCCCAGAGAGGCCCTGTAGTCATGTGATAATCCCGCTGGTACCCTGGGCTACCATCAACCGCATAAGGGAGTTCCTCGATTATTATTTCCCCCCCCCCAAGACAAAAAAGATCCCCTCAGGGTGGATGGCGTGGGCTTGCCGTCCCAGTGGCCGAGCTGACAGATGGCCGTGCTTCTCAGGTTAACAGCTGAAACTTCTGCACGGCGCCTTCCTCTCTCCCAGGCGGCCCTCCCTCCCGGCGGCACCGCTGGTGTCCTGCATCGCAGTCACAGAAAAGGTCGGCTCCATGTCCCTCCGGGGGCCCCGGGGCCACAGCATGGCATCACGGGACACCATCTGCGGGCTGCCATTTTGGATCAAAAGGGCTGCTAATCTGTCGTGTAGCTGCTTGGCTGCAGACGGAGCACCACGGGTGTGACCCATGGCCGTGTCGGTCTTAGATGTTCGAAGGGGGGGTCTGTGTGTGATGCGGGGCTTCTGCGCAAGACGGCGCTCGGGCGTCAGGCTCGCAATCAGATGGGGGAGGCTTTCATCAGGGCCGGGATTCTGAGAAGACGACCGGCACGCCGGCGGGAGCAGGAAATGCACGTGCAGGTCGAGTGCCTGGGAATCAAAGAGTAGTTTTTACTCTCATATGATGTTCATCCTCAAGTAGCTCGAGAGAGAGATATATCCTGCTCAGTTGTAGGCAAAGGAAAAGATGATCATTAATCCTTAGGGGCTTTGCTGGAGAGGTCAAAGGTCAGAAGTGTACATGAAGGGAGGTGGGGGCCAGCCCCTGCTCAGTAAATGATACAGCTTCCTACCCCCGCCTCCCTGCCCGCTAGTCCACAAGGCCCTGGCAGCGAAAGGAATCCCTTTATCTGATGGGTTCAAGATTCTGTCGCTTTTCATGTTACAATCAATGCAAATCTGATTTATTAAGGTATCACTGCTCGCTCTGAAATCCCTCCCCTGGGGCTTTGCTGCTGCCCCCCCACCCTCCCTCGTTCCCAGCATATGCTGTTAAACAGGCAACAACCCACCCCCCCCAGTCGACAAAAGAGGCTCTTTCTCAAGCTACTGCTTGCTGCATTTTTCACCAGTGGCTGTCTCCTGCAGCGCGTGCGGGCGTGGGGGCCGTCTCCTTAAGCGCATAGGGTTGCACGTTGGGGAGCATTCAACATCAGTGGTGAAGAGTTGTCGTCCCCCCCCCGGCAAGGAGGGACAGTAAGAGCTCAGGAGGACGGCTCCGCGCCGTCTTCCTGCAGGAATGTGCTGGCCTCCCTGCTCCTGGTCCTGGAGCCTCTGGCACTGTCAGGTGTAACAGCACAACAGTGGCCCAGCTCCCCCCACCATTCCTGCTGTAAATAGGTCACACACTCCCTCCCACACACAGGGACGTTAGTGGGTCCTGCCCTCAGAGGGCGCCCTTCCTCGAGCCCAGTCAGGTGTCTCTGTCTTGCTCCGACCTGTCCGGTCCCTCCCCTGTTGCATACTGTCATCCCAGGGGCTGGTAACCTTCTGCCCGGGACCAGTTAACCAGCATCAGCCCACCACTGGGAATAAAATAATTGCCGACTTGTTTGCTTCTCTGCTCCTGCTGCACATCTGTGCCCGTTATTTGATTCGCAGCGGTTTCTTGTTGGTTATTCTGCCAAAAAACGCTGATTGAGTCACTCCAGACCAGAGCTTTCTAATTGGATAAAATTCACATAACAAGGTGTAGGCAATGGATTAAAGTGTGGGGGTGCTCCCCCCTCCCCCCCCAAATAAATCTCTGTCCTTTCTGTTGTTGCCCTCGACTTCATAATATTGGCTGCTTATGAAGATCAGAGATGTCCTGTCGCTCACATAATTTGTCACTCTGATGGATCGAGTTCCTGTCCAGATGCCTTGGACTTGCAGCAGCGTTTTAGCTGCTCTCTCTAATCGCCCCCCCTCCCACCACCACCCCCCCACAGAGCGCCGTGATCCCAATTAAACACCGCTCACTTATCGGATTCATAATTAAATCGTGAAATTAATTAGCGCAGAATCTCTCCGGCCTCAGCGGCACCGATTAGCGTCGGCTTGTCGAACACCTCGTCGCCGTGGCGTGGCGTGACGCGGCGCCTCTCTCGCCCTAGGGATCTTCACGGATGAGGAGCGGGACCAGCTGAGGAGGTTCACCAACCGCTCCTACCTGCTGGAGAAGAAGACGCTGCAGCATGTTTGGCTGGGTCTAGTGGATATCATACTGGCGTACGCGTATGACACTCGCATCACTGAGGATGAGCACTGCGTGAGTCTTCTAGAATGCATTCCATCTGCACACTTCCCTTCGTCTTCATTAAGAAACCTGCATGCAGTATGTTGCTGTGTATATATTAATTACTCATTGGCTCTTGGTTACCTGTAGCTAACGAGATGAGCTGAGCTTCTTGACTGGAACTTCTCAAGAATATAATAGTGCTGGTTTCTTCCTGTACATGGGGAGAGTCTTTTCGCATATCTTGATCTCCATGAGGTACACGGACAGGTGGGAACAAATTTGTGGGTGGGGAGAGGGGGTGTCTCAGGGCCGGGCCATCTAGTGTCCAGCATCCCTGGAGCTTTTGGGGTTAAGGGTCTTATTTACGGGCCCAACAGCAGCATTAGTCTGCAGGCCGTGGGATTTGAACCAGTGACCATCCAGTCATGGGACCAGAGACCTAACCTGCTCTCTTGATATGACATTTCGTATTTAATGTTATTTACTCTGTCTTTTATGTGTTAATGGATTAACAAAATCAGCATTTTCATATCCTCACTTTTGTGACATCCATATTTCAACATGAGACCGGGATCCGGAAACCTTGGGGCCGGGGGGCGGGGGGGGGGGTCTAGCAGGTATACAGGGCCAGAGCTGCTCATGTCACAGTACTGCAGCTGCTGTGTGAGTGAGTGTGACTGCTGACATCAGAGAGCTGAGCTCCGCGGGGATCTCCACTCACGGGTGATCAAAGCAGCCTGGGATCGCCGCTCTGATACCCATTACTTGAAAGAAATTCCATCATATTTAAAAACATTATGTGATTGGCTTTTGATGATGGCATTGTAGATGTAATTACAAACACTAAAGAAGGTCTGTCATAACTGTTGTGTTTCCATGACAGTTCTGTGACTCTGCCCCCCTGCACAGGTGTTGTAGTCAGAAGTGAGTAGTCAGAGAGTAGAGGTCCAGACCAGGATTTTGTTTCAACCAACCAGCTGAGTACTCTGTGACTGTGACTCTTTATACCCAACTGTTTGGTTGAAACAAAATCTTGGTCTGGAACTTTTACACCCTGACCTAAATTATCCACCTCTGCCTGTGGTATTCAGGACAAAAGTCTTTGCTCTCTGTCTGAATCAATTTCATGTGACCCTTCAAGTTTTGTTAAATGGGCTGCACTTTGTCATACTTTAAAAAGAACACCAACATTATCGACCCCAGTGATTGTGTGTTTCGCAGGTGGAATCAGCTTGGAATATCAGGAAGGTCAGCGGGACCCTCTGCTGGCTTGAGGTATGAGACATGAGGCACCCCCACCTGGTGGGGGCAGAGGTCTGGGGGGAAGGAGTGTTTTGTTGGGAGGGGGCCTTGATGCATTAAATGCAGGTACAACAATATGACGGCTGAATGTCCCTGTAATACAGTGTCTCCATTTAGTGCAAGAACCCTACTCTTTGCATCCAAGGCCTCAAGTAGTTGTTTAGCCTAAGTGCTCTTTGGTGCCCAGAGTTAATCCATCTGCTGTGGAAGCATAGGGCACAGGGTGCCATTTACTGTGAGGGCATCTTGAATACAGGGGAACACAATGTTGAATCTGATTTCAGTCACTGTTGATCTCCGGTGTTGATCTCCGGTGTTGATCTCCGGTGTTGATCTCCGGTGTTGATCACCAGTGTTGATCTCCAGTGATCGCTTTCCCTGTGAGGTACACCCAGTCGCCAGTGTGCCCTTTGGGCCAGAGATTCTCCCCCCATCCCAGCCAAGCATGTTTTGCTGTTGTCTCAAGTCTCTTACCATTCAAAGCACAGTTGGAGGCTTTTAGCGTGTAAAAGCTACACACCATGCGACGCACGGCCGTGGGAGACAAGATATCATTACTGCTGTGAAGCCGTAAATGAGCCCCCTGGGGTTTGAACATTTCAGATGTATTATTTATTTTTTATGAACATGTGGAGTGGTAGTTCTGCTCGCTCAAGGATGCCTAGTGTTCAGTCCTAATCCCCCCATCCTGTCAGGGATGTCCCTACCACCAGCTCGCCGTAATTGCACCGTCCTCTGTGTGCACCTGTGCAGTCGCTCCCAACCTTAGAGACTTTACCGGTCTCTCTTTTATGGATCATATGAAACCAAGTCGGCTGAATGATATCTCCCACGGCCGTGCGTCTCATGGTGTGTAACTTTTACACGCTAAAAGCCTCCAACTGCGCTCTGAATGCTGCTACATTTACACACTTCCTTCAGCCATCGAATTCTAGGATGTCGTCTGTCATTCTCTCATCCACCGAACTCCCATGGCGGCTTGATGCTGTCTAATGGCCAAGCCTCCCCCGTAGGCCGACGCAGTAAGAATCGCAAAGCTGTCCCCGGCAGCTGACTGGTAATAAGAGAAGTTTCCTCAGGTGTGCATCTTCACCTGGCTGGCAGATGGGGAAGTGGGGGTTGGGTTCAGTTCAGCCTTGAACCCAGAGGGGCTGTGGGAAGCTCTGGGCGTCTCACCTTACACCTAGAAACGGGGAGCGTTCCCAGCTTTTAGATTTATTGCATCCTAACTGCACTGCCCCCCCCCCCCCCCCCGCCCCTATCATTGTGGTCGCCTCCTACCAATATAAGCGGCCGAACTCTAATGATGGTGCTACTGGCACAGACCATAATAAGCCCCTCTCTACAGCAGGGGAGTCACCATCCTGTCAGAGTTTAGGATACTGTGCACACTAAAAGACCATAGAGGCTTCATTGCCAGTTTCTTGGCTGGTGGAACTTAACCAGGAAGTTCTCAAAAGGCGTCAACTTTCCCCGGATCTCCCTTTGTCTCCTGATGTTGGTGGGATGGGGGGGGGGCTGAGGCGCTTGAAGGTGGGAATCGCCCCAGAATAAATGTGGTGATTTAAAGACCACAGACTATTAAATACATGGTTCCAGGGGTGTTTAAGGTTTCCATCAGAATTTTCCCTCCATAAAAAGGAAATCGTTAGGAGTAATTAGCTTATAAATGACTGCAATTAGGCGGCCGCTTTGCCGCCATGTGCTTTGGTAGAGGGGGAGCAGCTGGCTGAGGAGGTCAGCTTCAGCAGCGAGTCTGCAGTTTGGCTCCATCCTCCTCAGAACTCGAGTCCCAATGCAGGCCGTTTTCACCTTCATCGTCGTGCAGTTAAATGTGCTTGAGGTGTCGGTTCAGTGTGTGTTCAGTGTCCTGTAGTAGGTGTGTTTCTGGGTGTGTTTGTGTGTGTATAATGTCCTTAGATGTTTTTCAGACCTACAGCACTCTGCAGGAAGTCTTGGTGTCTTTTGGACGAAGATGCCTGTGTTACCCACTGTTCAGACACTTTGACCTCATCACCACAGTCATCCATGATGCAGCCTTAATATTCCAGTCAGGTTGGTGGGCCGTCTTCACCACTGTTGCACTGTGTTTCCGAGGGTGGGGGGGGGTCACGGGGACATGGGAGGCCTGTCGCAGTGTGATTATGTGGAATTCTGTAGGTGGGGAAACCCGAGTGGATATCTCTCTCAGCTCTTGAGAGAATGACGTCTTGTCATTCTCTCGATGTTTTCTGCATTGGATCCTGTCTCCATGCTTAAGCTATAGAACCTGGGACCCACGAAAAGAGGATGCATCAGTGTTAAGACGCTTCTTAAGTTTTGGGGATAACTCGCCAAGTCCCGGTTCCCTTGTTTAACTTGGTTTGGTTTCTCCAGAAATAATAAATGAAAAGTCAAAAAAAAAAGTATGAGCTTGATATATCGCACTCACTTGCCAGGTATTAATACTCTGCTGAAAAATTTGTGAAACTCATACTAGTAGCTTGAGGCTATTCTGGCTCACAAAACCTGAAATGCCTGATTTTTGTGTTTGTTTGTATGTTTTTGCGGTTCCTGCCATGGCCATTTATCACCTTATTAAATGCGACGGCCCTCTCCCTGCTGCTCCTCAGTGATATAACCAGCTCCGTGAATTTTGAATGAGAGCGTGATATTTTATATTGCAGTCACGTAACTGCCATTTTTCTGTTTTGTTTAATTTTTTTAAATATAAACCGTCATTGCCGCTCAGTACCGCCATCTTGCTGCGGTCATGGAATTGCACCTGGTGCCTGCGCTCTGCACATGTCAGTGTGAGTGACGTAACCCTCTAGGAGACGTAAATAAAATAAGTGCGTGATGATTGCCGGGAAGGTCCGTCTGCATCGGCCCGCCAGCTTTTTCGTTCCCCCCAGCGAGAGCAGAGTGAGAGAATGGGTTTGGTTGGAAATGTGCTCTTCGAATGGCTCTTCAGAGAACTAAAATGCTTCAGTCTGTTTCATTCTTTGCTTGCCTGGAATAAGGAAAATGTTGTGCCAAGACGTATCTTGTTTGCAGACATGGGCACTTGCCTGCAGTTCGGTTACCAGGAAGGGCTGAAAAGACGCGTGTTTCACCGGCATGTTCCAGTTGATCGGCAGCACTTGCCAAACTGGGGAAAGGCCAGAACTGGAAATATTCGTATGTTTCCTTTTTTCCCTTTCCTGAGGTGTTAATGTGGTCTTGCCTGTTATTTAATTAGCGACACGCTCGTTATCAGAAGCAGCAAAGTAGCATGACGGGACGCCATCGGAGCTGCAGGGTGTGTGATTTGGGATTTTTTTTCTGTCCTTTT